AAAAATAATTAAATAAGTATCATATTAAAACAGTAAATAAAATCAATACTAAAAACACATTAAAAAGCATAAGGGCACAACAATCCAATTGAAAACCCTCCATCAGACCGCCAGTCACCAAGGAAAAGCTTGTCTGAAGGGAACCATCTTCAGAATTAGTAAAAGCTTGCCCATGTTGCGAGTATTTGTGTGAATTTTACAAAACTGATATTGAAGTAAGCTTGTCTCACTTATTGAAGGGAGTGTGATATTAAGCGTTGAAGCTGGTTAATTTTTTAGCTGGCTGAAACATGAGTCATGATCTGGTATTCAGTTTTTATAAATACTGTGATTCGGAACAATAGCTTCTCAGTTTTCTCTTTATGAAGGTTCTGTTTGGGTTATTATAAACTGCAGGATCTTGTCCAGTCATTAAATATGTTCGTATGAAGCCTAGTTAGTGTACTGTCCCTAATAGCAACTAATTAGCAGGCAATTTGTGAAAACTGGAATTGCCATTTTGAAATATTTATTTCTTCAGAAGTTTAAGAAATGAAGAAGAAAGTAACCCAAAGTGACCTTGATTTGGGGGAATATATGGTGCTAGATTTTGTATGGCCAAAATAAATGTCCGAGGTTCTCTTTTATCCGTCTTTCCCAGAAGACACAAAATGTTACTTTACTTATGTTTACAACATAGAGTCTATACATTTATCTCCACCCTACATACGAACTGGAAACTTATTATTTCATAGACAGTAGTAACATTATTTCATATACAGTATATGTTTATTGGAAGCCGCCCAGAATGGTCGAACAGACCAGATGGGCGGGATACAAATCAAATCAATCAATAAATAAACTCAGTTTGTGAAACTGATCCGTTCTATGCCATATTATGTAGTACAGAAATTCTGCAAAACAAAACGCCAATTGTGCTATGAAAGGGGTGGTGCTATAGGGCCTGGCGTGCTCTGGTCCATGGGTTCACGAAGAGTCGGACACGACTAAACGACTAAACACACACATAGGCACAATGCGTCATGGGAAAACCCTTTCATAGTGTGAAAAAAAGAAAACAACATAAACCAGGGCTTAACTTATGGATTTTGGTTCGTAAACCGAAAATTACATAAACTGAGGCGTTCGTAAACTGAGGTACTACAGTACATATTGTATACTGGGTTAGATGGGGAAAAGGTAGGTAGTGTTTGCTCCAGCTTTTAATGGCTACTGGAACACGAAAGCAGTAATCTTAAATTTGCCTGGTATCACTGTAGTTAAATAGTTCCTAAAGCATAATTAAAATTATGAGAAATATGAACTTCAGAGAAGATGTACATTTGTGGTTCTTGCAACAGAATGAGCCTGGTTTTCTAGAACTCAAGGGCAGGTTGGTGGTAGCTTATGTCTTGCCCTCCAGTTGTGCTAATCTGAAAACAAAATGCAAACATTGTCATGTGTTTCTTGGCTGACTGGTCTTTGAAATTCGGAATCTTTGAAGTTGTACTAAAATATCAAATGAAAACAAAAAAGAAAAACGAATGTGTCCTTGTCTCAGTCCAGAACCAAGGGCAGCTGTTTACCTTTATTAGACCACTACATTTTTCAGGGTTGCAGATCCTATTTTGGAATTTGCTTTAAACAAGAGAGCCTGGCCTCTACATCTGACCATGATTTGGGGCACTTCTCCCTTGCTTCTATACCCTCCAGATCTGTAATTTCCAGCTTGATGGAGAATCCTGCAGGATTCAAAAGCTAGTGTAGCTTTGTGAGATCTTGGTAGTCTAAGAAAGTATCACCCAACCTTGTTTCCTGGTAAAAATATCAAAGGTAGTGTGTGGTGTCTCTTAGTTTTCCTGATATTTTCAGGTTTAACACTTTTAATGGATTCTGTGTAATGCCAGAAAGACAAATAAGTTCACTCTAGATAAAATCAAACCTAAATTCTCATTAGAATCTAACAGGACTAAACTGAGGTAGTATACTTTCAGTGTATCAGGAGAACACAAGAGTCCCGGGGGGTGGGGTGGGGGAACAATGCTGTTAGGAGAATGGCTTTATAGAGAGTTTGGTTTCTGGAAAATTCTCCTTTTTGTCTTCTGGTTGCATTCTGTTATGGCAATGTTTTTTTCTGGATGACAGGTTGTTTTGTCGGAAGGCTCTTGGGGAGTGTGAAAATGAACATAAATGTTGAGAACAATGTGAGAATAACATTTAAAAAATGTAACTGGGAATACAGAGATGGTGGGGGATAAGAAGAATTGCTGTAGCTGTCTATGATGTGGAACCTGAATTGTTTCCCTGAAAGCTCTGTCTCAAGTAGGTAACATGCTGAGGCCTTTTTCTAACATGCTGAAGTAATGGTAGTTGATAACATGCTAATGCCGATGAATACAAAACTTGGATGGTAGATGAATAGAGTATAGTAGACAACTTCAGAATGTGTAAATGTGGGAGAGTATTCACATAAATCTGTTTTCACCTTGAGGATTAAAAAAAAGCCAATCTCCTTAAATTTTAATCTAAAGTGGATCCTATTAAAAAAAATCAGTATAGGTTTGAAAATAAGCCCAAAGGCTAATTAGTTCAAATATTTATACCAATAAGGTAAAGTAGCCTCCCCAGCATTGCATAGGGGAATTATGCCTGTTATGTACAGGACCAAAAATGTTGGGTACTGTGGAAAAATAAAAGAAATATATTTATATATTGACGCTTGCCTGCAGACTTGCATTCTGATAGCAAAGACAAAACAAAAGAGGGAGAGTAGCGGGGTAGGATAATTCATAGACTGCTTTTTTGAAGCATATTTGGTGTTTTTTCCCAGAGAATGGCACCCCATTTCCTCAGCAGGGTTCCAGCAGTTGCACAGATTCCCTGCTGTCTCCTGATCCCAAAGATGAGTTTCAGAGCCAAGATGTTCTGCTGCTATTTCTAACATCCACACAGAGCAAGCCCGTCTGCAGGGTTAGGCATCTGATGCCCTCTAGCTGTTTTATCATCATCATCTTAGAACTGCAGAGCTAGAAGGGACTCTGTGGATCATTCGGCTCCTGTCAAGGAGGCACAGTGGGAAATTGGAAGCCCCAATCTCTGGCTTCATAGCCAGATACCTAAGCCACCGAGTTATCGAGCACTTCTTGGGGTACAACCAAAACCTACTCCAGCCTGCTTGCCTAATGGTTAGTGATTATGGGGATTGTAACTTAAAACATCCTCAGAGCTTCATGTTGCCTATCCCAACATTTCGGGTTTGCTGCTTCATCTCTCATTTGGATAGAAGATTGGAGCATCTTGTGCAAACCTCTGTCTTGACTAGGCTTGCTGGTATGGGCAGTGGTTGGATGAGGGAGGCTCAGAAGATAGTATCTTGTCCTGAAAGCTTATCAAAATGCACTTCTGTGTAGCATGAATTGGTGGAAGGAAGGGAGAGGGTGACTGACAGCCAGCCGTGTCAGGAAAGTCCCTGTGCAACAACTTGGGTGATGAACTAATTGTATGAACAATCCAACATCTGTTCTGACAGGTTTAGTCAAACAATTTTATTTAAATGACTCATTAACATTGATTCACTGTTTGTGGAGTCGTAAAAATGAAGGGCTTTAACAGTTAAAGCCTTTTTTTTTTTTTGGTTGGGGAGAGATTGCTGTTGTAGAGCAGAGGGTGGGCAACCTGCAGGGGCCCCCCAGGCTGTTTTTACGATTCAGAGCCTTCTGCAATTCCCTCATTCTTTGTCAGAGAAAGCTGAATTCCATCTCCTGAAAGCCTTCAGAAATGATTATTAAACTTTAACATGTTTTGTTCCTGTCAGAATACCTGTAAATATTAAAGCATGATAACTTAATAGCATACACTCATCTTACATAATTTAGACTCTAAGGGGGGCGGGATGAAGATCCTGAAATGCTTAAAATTAATCTGTGCCATCAAATTGATTCTGAATTATTAACATCCTCCCAAGGCGTTCCCAGGTATAAAGTTCCCAGGAATGGTTCCTTCTGTTGGTGCTGGTAAGCTGTACAGGTGGCAGTGCATGTAGTCCTACCCACCGACAAAGCTCTGGGTCATTTCAGCTGACCCCTCTCACGGGAGGCATGATGGAGATTCAAACTCCCAATCTCTGACTCTTCACAGCTAGATTCCCAGATGTCGTAGCGCTTGAAACTCTTAACATTCTGATTTAAGCATCTACGGTATGAAAAGCTGTATTCATAAACATGCAAACTTTCCCTAATGTAATGCCTCAACCCTCTTGGTGGCATGATTAGCCTCAGCAGTGACTGGAGCTTCGTGGCGCAGTGGTTAAACAGCAGTACAGCAGCCCAAACTCTGCTCCCGACCTGGGTTCAGTCCCAGGTAGGCAGCTCAAAGTTCACCCAGCTTGAAAAACTGAGTGCCTAGCTTGATTGGGAAGCTGTTTGTCCAGTTGCAGTGAAGGCTCTTTTCATTTCTCTCTGTGCACTCACTCACACGACTGATGCGGAAGGGCGCCTGGAGGTGTGATGAGCTGGAAAATAACTCTTGAGCTTGAACATTCTGTTCTTCTTCCCCGTAGTCCTACTTCGTCACAGACTACGATCCGACTATAGAAGATTCTTACACAAAGCAATGTGTGATAGACGAAAGACCAGCAAGACTGGATAGTAAGTAGCTGGTTTTTGTTTTGTTTTTTGTTCTGTTCTGTTTTTTGAATCGGGAATGAATATCCTTTTACAGCCTGGAGAAATGCTCTGGCTCCAGGGAAGACCCCCGCCAGTCGTCGGTGGGGACTGAGCCTAAACTGCAGGGAGTCACATGCATATATCGTCTCACTAGTAAAGTGGTACCCCATTCATGCCTTTTCACACAGTCTTTTTTCTGGTCTCCTGAAATCAAAACTGTTCTGAATCCTGGAGTTTCCAGAAGTCTCCCTCCCTATCAGCCCCCTATCTAGACATCACCTCAGATAATTTCCCCTTTTCCCTAGAATCATTATTTCAACCATAGGTGTTACCCCTTCAAGAAGTATTTTCACTTTAACAAAGACTTCATGGTTTGTTGTTTTTGTTTTGTTTTTTGTGTTGGGGAGCTGGAGCAAAGAACTCAGAGCTGGCTAAAGGAAGGGAGGATTGGAGGACGGCGAAGTCCTCAGCTGGTTCAGTGGGTGGGAAAAAGCTGCCGAGAGGGGAGAGGAATCTCTGGTACAGCCTCCCAGCTGGCTGGATGTTGTATAATATGTCGCAGACACAGCTGGAGAGCCCTTGTGTTCATGCAAAAGAAAAAGGGAAATGCTGGCATGACAGTGGTGGTCTTCCTGCCTCTGTGGAAGTGTTTTCCATGCCTTCACACAACACCAACAAACCAGATCTTGGAATGGTAATTCTTTTGGACTACAACTCCCAGAAACCCCAGATAATTCTAACTCGCATTGATGTTTATGCTGGACGAGCAAAAAAATCTGTTCCAGAATGCAGTTTCTAACTGTTGGACAAGCATTTGGGGAGGGGGGACGACAGGCACAGCTTTGGACTGCATCTCCCCATCCTGGGTGCATTTTATGTATTCTTGAATGTGACCTTCACCACCACTTCATAGCTGAATTTAGACATGGATGTTTTGTAAGCAGACTTTCCACAAAACCAGTAGGCAAGAAAATAAGGAGTTTTGGAACCTTGCTCATTAAAATAAGTAAACTGCTTTAAAAAAATTTCAGCCAAGTCTGTGACTGGAAGGAGTTTATGGCACAAAGAAAACATGGAGTTTCTTTGAATGTACTATCTTGGAATGTAACACTAAATAGCCATGATTTGCATAGTTCTAGATACAGCAGGCCAAGAAGAATTTGGAGCCATGCGAGAGCAATACATGAGGACAGGAGAGGGTTTCCTGCTTGTCTTCTCAGTCACAGATAGAGGAAGGTAAGGCAACACAAGAATCCTCTGAAATGTGTTTCAGCATCATTGAATGTACCTGTGCAGGAGGGACAGCTGAAATAGTTAAGGTTCAAAAATACTTGGTTATGGTTTTCAGTGTTATGAAGTAGGGCCAGGTGTTTGAGAATTGTCCATCCAAGTGGGTCTGTTTGAGAAGACTATGGACCTTCAGTTCCTTGAAAAGCTTCATGGCAAACCACTTTTTAAAAATCAAGGAGAGCTTGGAAAAGGAACAGAGGGCTCAGTTGTAAAAAAATTACTGGGCAAATGCGAGGTCTTGGGATGTTTAAGAATATGGCCAAGAGGTTTTCAGTTTACATTTCACCTCTGATGCAGACCTTGCTGGCCGACCTCAGGCAGGCTTTCTTCCAAGAGATCATAATGTGCGACTGTGGCTGCAACTTTTTTTTTCTTTTCCTTGTTCCTTTAGTTTTGAAGAAATCTATAAATTTCAAAGACAGATTCTTAGAGTGAAAGACCGTGATGAATTCCCCATGATTCTAGTGGGTAACAAAGCAGACCTGGACCATCAGAGACAGGTAAAATATAAGCAGTAAAGTTCTGCCTCTTATGGGGAACAGCGAAATTCAGTGATAGAGCTCACACTTTCAATGAAAACGTTTCAGGTTCATTCCCTGACATCTCCAGAGACAACCAGGGAAGGTTCCTGTTTTAAAAACACTGCATAGCAGGATTGCCGTGAGTTAAACAGATCAAACTTGGTGTAAGGCAGTTTCTCCTGTTGACATGGTAAATGATAGGTAGGATGGGAATATGTAATGTAATGCAATGTAACTCAAGAGGTTTGGTAGCAGGTCACACTCTCCCTGCTAAAGCTTGGGCAATGTCATTGTTGTTGCTCATCCTTTCCTCATGTCATTGTTATTTTTCGTTGAAGGTTTACTCTAGAGAGGGACCGTTTCCTTTTTGGCAATGGCATTTTACAGCAAATTTCTGTAAAGGAAATCAAGCAGCCATCTTTTCAGGAATTGTTGCTATAATAAGGGCATATTTAATGGAAAATAAATAGTAGATTATACACATGCTGTAATTAAGGCTCTTGACCCTTAGGATGCACCATAGGAAATGGATCTTCTTAGTTTATTCACTGAAACATTCCTGTAGTAAATCCTCTTTGCTGAGTAATGGCCATATGAATATGAGTCAGGCCAAAATCTATGAGGATGAGACACAAGACCATGACATCATGGTCAAGGCATGAGTCTCTTTCCAGTTACATTTATACTTCACATACCAACAGTTAATCATCATATTAGAGAGTGTGAACTAATGCTAACCCCTTCAGAGAAGAAAAGAACACAAGAATAATGGTTGTTCTGGGTTTTTCGGGCTCTTTGGCCGTGTTCTGAAGGTTGTTCTTCCTAACGTTTCACCAGTCTCTTTGGCCGGCATCTTCAGAGGACAGCAACCAAGAATAATTTGTGACTTATGAGCAACTGTTTGCTGTCTGTTAGGATGTTGCCAATTACATTCAAGCCATTGCTTTATTTCAGGGCTGGGCAAATTTCAGCCCTCTAGATGCTGCTGGGCTGCAGTTCCCAGCATTCTTCACTATGTTGGCTAAAAGTGATGGGATTTGTAGACCAGCAGCATCTGGAGGACTAACCTTCACCCACTCACTCTGCTTGCAACATTTTCTTTTAGAAAAACAAACTTTTTCTTTTAGTTTGTTTGTGGTAGTACTACTGAACCAGTGTCTGTTTGCCTTTGTGCAGATAATCCCATGTGTGCAAACAACACCACACGCTTGCCATATTCAGGCCTCTTGGGGCTGGGCTAATGCTTTGGTTCAAAGGACTGGCATCAGTGCTCCGAATGTGGCTATGACAGAGCAGAGAGAAATGAGCAAGACTGGCTTGTTCAGAGTTGGTAGGAGTGATGTGCATGTATAAAAGGAAAATCCACCCAAAGGGGTAGAGAAATAATGAAGAACTCTAGGTTGCCTTTGATTCCATATCAGATTAAAATTATCTATCTGTGGACCAAGAAGATTAAACTAAAACAGCATTGTGTATGCCGCATTTAATATAATAAATATAAAAATAATTGTAAGTAAAAATAACTGTGGTGACCCCTCCCCAACATATTTTGTGACCCCCTTGGGGATTCTAAACTCCCAGGGAACCTGTGCTATAGATGATGACTGATTTAGTAGTAGATGCTGTCCATAGATTTTGTCTCATCTTGTTTTCAGGTAACACAAGAAGAAGGACAGCAACTAGAACGGCAACTGAAAGTAACATATATGGAAGCATCAGCAAAAATAAGATTGAATGTAGACCAAGCTTTTCATGAACTTGTCAGGGTAATAAGGTATGCTTTCCATGCTAGACATGCTTAAAATGTGCTTTCTAACTGCATTTCTCTTTCGTTCTTTTTCCCTTATTTATGTTTGAATTTTATTGTTCTATTGCAAATACCTAAGTATCTTAAGGTGTAGTGGATAGAATTACAGACCAGAACTCTAGCGGAGAGGGTTCGGATTCCCACCTGGTCATGGAAACTCACCGGGGGAGTGGAACCGGTAAGACCTCTCCTTAAATATCCCACTTGGCTTGAAAGCCCTATTAGGATTGCTACAAGTTGGTTTCTGTGATGGCACAGAGCGCACGAGTATCTTACCAGGGTGTAAAACTGGAATGCAGTTTTAAAATAAGAAAGCAAGTGCGTGAGATAGAAACTGAGGCTCCAGTTTATCAGTGAAGATTCTCAGTCATCCAGGTGAGGTTATCTGGAAGTTGAATCATAGCAACTGGACTTCTTTCTTATTAGGTTGAAACATTTCTCTACTTATCAAAGGCTGAAGAAGCTACTTGAATGAGTAGCAAAATATTTCAATGTAATAGGAAAGAAGTCCAGTTGCCATGACTCAGCTTCTAGATGACACTCCATTTCTGCACCTCTTGAGAACAAGTGCCCTTGAACTAAATGTTGCTTGTTGCTGGGTAGATAGACTGAAACCTGCACTATGAGCCACATGTGAGGCTTCTCTGTGTGCATGCAGAGCAGTTTGTTTCAAAGCTTGCATAAATGTAGCTCTCTTGACCATGTCATTTAGCAAAAACATGTGCTAGGAAACTTAATAATTAATTTTGTGGAGTGTCCCACCGTGAATTGTTGTACATACCAGGACTCCTCTGTAGTTGTTAGGAACCGCATCTTAGAATAGCAACTTTTAACCCTGGATCTAAATGAGCTCTTGTTCACACCCGCATATCATTATTTTTTCACAATCCAGTTTTAGTTCACTTCTTAGTACAGTCCTTTAAAAAGAACGCCTTTTAAAAAAAATGTCACCTCCATTACTTTGGAAAGCCAAAGTGATCAGTACTGTTTACAAATCCATTTGGATGATAGAGGTCCTTTTAAGCTGCTGATCTCTAGTAGTATAAAGCAAAGGCAGGAGTAGTAGTATTCGATTTCTTTATTTTTTTCATTTTTGTTTTGTTCTTCCTGGTATGCTAGCACAGAGTAACACAGCTACCTTTTCTAAAACTAGGACCTGTCATTTAACTTGACATTGGTTCTGTTGCCTTAATAATCCTCTTAGAATATATTGATTTCGTTGAATTTGGTGAACAGGAGCATGCTGTAATAAGATGGTCTCCTCCAGTGTATTTTGGATGCACTCCTAGGAGTCTTGTATCGCTTGGGACAATTTCTTCTTCTGTGTGATCTAGCCTCCCTTCCACAAAGGGTAAAAACCATGACCCCAGGTTGTTGCTTGTTAGCAGTGCTTTCCTGCCAAGTCTGGGTAGAAGGCACTGCGGTGTGAGAAGACACTGTAAGACACTTGGATTCCTGTATTAAGCAGGAAGTTGGACTTGATGGCCTTATAGGCTCCTTCCAACTCTATGATCCTATGATTTGACTGTCAATAGCAGGTGCTTCTGGACAAAATAAGAAGCAAACTCCCAGAAATATCCTTTTGGTTAAACATACATGCACAAAAATGTGCCCCCTTTCCTACTTTTTTCTCAGTGTGCACACATTAGGAGTTTAGTTCCAAAGCCTGGATTTCACAGAGATGATATTTTGTTCCACTTGAGTCCTAGAGTTTAAGAAAAAGGGGGCAGGGATGGGGAACTTAGTATACGGGGGTCTGTATCGAATTTGTATCCTGAATGCCCATCATGAGCTATTCTAAGCTCAGAAACAGCTCAGAATGCATGTGTACATGCTCATATATCTCAAATCAGAACTGTCCAGACAGTTTTGATTGGGGGAATGCAGAGGGGCTTGGGGCAGTTCCTCATGGGCTCCAGGAGCAGGCAAATACGTTCCCCTCCACACCTTATTTTTGCATTGAAGTGCATTGAGGAGGTGTCTCAAAGTGCTCTTGGAGGCTGAAGTTGACCCATTCACAATCTGTATTAATTATTATACATAGATTAAAAAAAAAAAAAGAAATACAGTGGTTCCTCGACTTAACGAACGTCCCGACATACAACCATTTTGAGTTATGACCAGCTCCGGCCGCAAAATGTTGCTTCTATTTGCGACCGGAGCTTCGAGTTAAAACCAGAAAAAGGCAGGGAAAAAAGGTGGGGAATTCAAATTTCTAACTGTTGGTGGCGAAGAGGATGCTTCTTTGTAGCTCTTTCACCCCAGTAGTTAGAGAGTGTGCGATCGGAGGAGGCTTTGGACTGCCTGGTAAGTAAGGTAAGGTGCTGCTTTCTGCTTTTAAAAAACTGTTCTGGGTGGGTTTTGCAGCATGGTTTTGGGCTGGGTAGTGGGATTATGTTTCTATGCTGTGATGGGTCTTGCAGGTTTTGTTTTTTGCCCCCCCCCCCCAATTTCTGATGGGTCTTACAGGGTTTGTTTGCTTTTTGGATTCCCCCCCCCCCCATTCTTTCTTCTAAACATAATTCCGAATTCAATAGAACCAACAAAATCTTATTTAGCTATCCATATCTTGACAGCTGCAATGCATTCCTATGGGAAATGGTGCTTCAACTTATGACCATTTTGAATTACAACCGGAATTCCAGAACCAATTAAGTTTGTAAGTTGAGGCACCACTGTATGTGCAAAGGAAGTTAAGTGAAGATTTGCTGTATTGAGAATTATATTGATTTGGAGCTTGGATTTAACCTACAGTTTTGTTCTTTCATAGGAAGTTTCAAGAACAAGAATGTCCTCCTTCCCCAGAGCCAACAAGGAAGGAGAAAGACAAAAAAGGGTGCCATTGTGTCATCTTCTAAGAATGCTTTGAACCAAGCTTTCAACTGCCAGATTAATTCTCTTCACGTACCTTTCTGTGTGTCCTGGTGTTTCGTCTAGCCTTTTGTGTGCATGTTGTATAAGTATGGTCACCGAAGTAGCCTTAGTCTAAAAGAACCAGACTGACCCAGGCTGAGAAGACATCTTAAGTCACCTCAGGGCAGATGTCAAAAGAAACACTAAGGCTTCTTTTAATACTCCCAATATCTCTCTTCCCTCATGTAAAGAAGCTTGCACCTTGTGGAGTTTTATTCACAATGGAGACAAATCAATCTTAGACAAGGTATTGAAGTCAAGCTTACAACCTGCCATTTGGGTATTTTCCCTCCCCTCTCTTTTATTTGCAACATCTTCATTAATCACTCTGAAGAGGGGGCAGGGCCTCTAATCAAAGTGTAGAATATTTTTTTAAAGAAGTGGGTTTGGAGGTTTTGCCCTTTGATTAGGTTAGACTTCAAAATTCAGCTTGCCTTACAGGAAGCCAATACACTGAATTTCATTGTCAGTAGAGATTTGTGTTTTATCTCTTGTTTACGCTCCAGCTTCTTTCCACTGGTCAACAATCTACTGTATTTATTTTATGCCTCCAGTAACAGCTACAGGATTATTGCTCTTAACAACTGTGTGGCCAAGTACCTGGGCTCAATCTGTATTTGAGCATTTTAGTTTTAGAAGATTTTACATCATAGTCTGGAATTTGGAAAAGTCTTCCTTCTGTTTTCCAGCAAAGGGATTCAAGAATACTTAGACTTGTAGCTGTTTTTGTTTTTCATGTAATATATAAAAAAAGATGAATTTGCTCTTTTCATTGTCAAATGATTAAATGGTTTTTGCTATATACTTTTATACATTATTTTCTTATCAAACTAGTTAACAAGTATTTTTATATGTTTGTAAGCAAATATGCTTTCATGGAATAACTTGTGTATATGTAAAGATGAGTATTTAATTCTCATAGTACACTTTTAACTGACAAGATTAATGCAGGATTTACAGAACTGTGGTAAAAAAAAATCTCTGTTTGATGTTCCAGTTGTATTCAGAAGTGGCCAATCATGTGACTATCCACTGTATCTCTATAAAGTTGTCATTTTTTCCCAAATTGCCTTTCACATCCTTTACAAATGATGGATCATTATGTGACTATTAAACTGTACAAGCCTTTAATTGAATGTTCACTTCAATTGTGGGTGATGTCTGACTTTGAATTATGCAAATTGTGGCTAAACAATTCAGGATCTTATTCTGTGGCATTAAATACTGAATGGTATTGACAGCTTGTCATGTTACTGAGAGTGTTAAACAGTTCCAAACAGTTTTGTTATTAAACATACTCTTGTTTAATGTGAAAGGCTGTAATTGACAGTTCCGTGGTGGGGAAGTGTGGAGACCAGCATCTGAATGGCAAAATAAGTCTTTACAGATTGAAAGTGTTTGAACGCTGGCTAATCAAAGCAAAATGTAACAGTTTAGCATGAAATAATGTGAAAAGTCTTTTGAATCTAAATTATGAATGCATACCAGATTTCTAATTTGGGCACGTGTTCCTATAATTTTTTTCCAGGTCCACATACTGGGATCATATCTGTTTAATCATGTTCAAAAGATCTGTAGTCAGTTTGCTCAAGGGGTGGGGAATATATTTTGTCTTACTTGTTCATCTCTCTGCAATTGGATTGGAGTCCCAGAGTTTGGCTTGTTCTTGACTTCTGGGGTTTGCTAATTCAAGGCCCTTATTGCAAAACCAGTAATCTTGCTAAGTTTCTCTCTTCCTGGCAGGATTTCCCTAAGCTATCTTTGCATGAAATCAATACTGATTTTCAGCTCATAGAGAGTTGCGCAACACAAGAGCCTTATGATCTAGAGTACTTTACTGTGAAGCCTGCACTTTTAACAGACATAATACATACATTACCACCATGCCCTTCCAAAGCATAGAGACTCTATCTAGAACCAGCTGAATTGTGTCCAACTTCAGAAATATGCTTGGCAACAGGGGCTTTCATTATGTAGAAGGTAAGAACTGGTAAAGCAGTGCGTATGGATAATCATCTGTCTATCTATGGAGAGAGGAGAGCAGAATTTGAGTCCTTGGGTTCTCTTTCTGGACCCGATTCATAACACTCACTGGATTGAGGAATGAATTGGGATTTATTTTCAAATAGCAGAAGATCGTGCTTTGGTAATTCCTGTATACTTGAAGCAAGAGGATGAAAGTAAGTGCAGAATTTGGAGTGAGTCCAAAGCGTATTCCCAGTCTTTGTGCACAGAAAATATCAATGTGGAGGGGTTCTCAGTTTTGTGAATTGAGTGGCACATCCTACAGAGATCACCTAAAGTCTACTTCCTAATAGATACAGTAGAACCTCTGTATCTGCCAGGGATCAGTTCTATGATCTATCGTGGGTGCCTGCAACTGCGGATACGAGGGAACCCTATATACAGTATACAAGGGGGGCAGGACAAAGGCCACAAGGGAGCACCTTTGTATATAGAACTGTGACAAACTGCAGATAAGTGAAAATGTGGACACTGATTCCACAAATATGGGGGTTCTACTGTATTTGTTTATTTGCTTTTCACCCGAGTCCAAGGTCTCAGAACAGTACACTTCTGTTACTTGTTTAACATTGGCCATTGACAGTGAACTAAGTCTTGCTCCCTGAATTTTCCTAGTGTACATTTTGTAAATACTATCCTATAAAAGAGTTGGACTCTTTCAGTTCGTCTTCCGTATTATATCTAGGCTTGTGTGCTGCTGTAAATATTGCTCTCACCAGTTCCTTAGTGTCATGTAAGTGTCTAGGCAGGAACTGGACAAATGAGCTCTGGCTTATACTCCCATGTTTTTCAATGAAGTCAGCTTTTTGTACAACCTCTGTTTTGAAAAGGGTTGTGGTTGCTTGAATAGGACGCTGCTTTGCCCTTGAGTGACATCCTATCGGTGCCTTTCAGTTCCCTTGCACAGAGCTTAGAACAGTGACCAGTTGGGATTACTACTCCTGGCATTCCCCATAGCCCTGTTGTCTGGGGGATTTGGGGAGTTGCGATGCATCTTCTTCCAAGCTTTGATTTTTTGTAGAATCAGAAATATTCTTCCAAGTACAGCTGTGTGTGTGTGCTGCGAGGGGGGAAAACAGACATTTTAGGGATGGAACTGTTTCAGTTCCTCTCCTTTCCTTCGAACAGAGTTTCGTATGCTGTTGCTTTTCCTGGAGCCAGGCAGACGCCGCTGTTGTTCAGGTTGCTCAGTGAGGAGAAGAGACAGATGCCTGATTGCTCCGTTTCCAACGCTGCTTCAGCTGGCCAGAAAGAACAACTGGCATCCCAGTGGTGCTCTGGCCTAGCAAACCACAGGAACCACTTATGGCTCCACTCAGTCGCTTCCTACGGGATGGGAGAGATCAACAGCCAGCTGTTATTGCTGGGGAAACAGCAGCAGCAGCACAATAAGTCAGCTGGAACTGACAGTCTCTTGAATGTAGCTTGAAGACAGTCCGATTGCAAGCCGAACCACGGATAGAATGAAGATTAAGATGAAAAATATGTACAGAGCAAGTGGCCCTGTTTCAGCACACATGCCCGGGAGGGAATTGTGAAGATGGCAAGCACGCAGCAGAAACACAGTTATTTCCTGTACACCTGTCTTGTTTCCCCCCTTCCCCCAGAACTGGCATGAAGGCAGAGATCACATCTTTCGCCGAAACAACAGTTGCTGCCCCACTGCTGTCCACTGTGTGGTTATTGGTGCAGACCAGAATTGCCAGACAGCTTTTGGTACACCAGCCATTGCCTGGCTCCGAAACTGCACTGAGGTCATCCAGTCAATAGCCTTGGAAGGGGATTATTGGAAACGGGGGCTAATAGGGGAAATGCCAAGAACTGGAATGCATTCAGGGCAGCTTTCTGAAGAAGTTGTGCCAGAGTTGTGTGAGCTCTAGTTTCTCCTTGCTAGTGTCACTGAGGGCAAAATAAGAGTTGCATCCAGCAATAGCACCCATGTATTGGAGCAAGCAGTATTGGGAAGCATACTGGCAATGATTGTGAAGGTGATATGCAAGCCTTTATAGAAATTGTATAGTAGTAAGATATTGGTAGTAGTCTGTCTTGTGTATTTATTTTAATGCATATTTAGGCTGCCTTTCTCCTAGTGAAAGAACTTAAGGCAGCTCCCAAATTATTAAAAAAATTCAACTAAAAACGTAAGTATTAGGTTAAAAGCAATTAAGCATGTAGTATTTAAGCAATTAGTTGAAACAATTAAAAACATCTGAAAAAATCATCATAATCATCAACAACATAGCAAAATTAGTGCATTGGTCATTATGCAAAAAATATAACTTGCCAGCCTCCAAAAACCCATCGGAATATAACACACCAGTGTGAACATAACACACCAGACATAGTAGTAATAGAACAAAGAAATGTCAGGATCATAGACATTGCAATTCTGGGGGATGCCAGAGTTTAAGATAAAGAATTGGAAAAACTAACAAAAGTGCAGAGACCAGGCAATCAAAACATCTCGCTTGAGGATCAAACACACTTCAGTGGTCTCTTTAGTCATTGGGGCTTTCTCTTCTCAGCAACCATCATTCCAAATATTTGCTGAGTACAAGTCAGACACATTTATTTTTGTGGGAGAGCTACGCATGGGATTAACTTTCTCCTATTAAATTGGATATAAACATTCCTAGCTGTGGCTGGATCAGGTACTTAGCTAGATCATGCCAGTGACTTTACTACTCCCCACACCTTTCCTTGCCTAGTCTGTGCAAGCAGTGACTTCCAACAATACGCAAGTCATTTCACTGAGATATGTCATGGTGGTGGTAGTGAGAACCCTGCATTTCAAGACTGTGGATGAAACACACTTCAGCAGTCCTTGTAGTCATTGGGACGTTGGGAAGAAAATCAAGAAGTTTCACACGGTATTATAAGTGGTTGCAGATCTCAGAAATAACATCTCGCTACAAAAACAGGCATTAGGAGCAGCATGCATGCTGTACTGATATTTAACAGATACGTACTTAGATTTTGTTAAAACGTGTATCTGTTGTGTAATACAAGTCAATGTTTTGATAATTTTAATTGACTGGTATTTTTTACTACTGCTGCTACGATGACATTGACAAAGACCACTTCTAATATGTAGCAGCTAAAATGAAGACATGGAGCTTTACAGAATTCAAGGAATACTAAGCTCCCTTTTAAAGTCAGCCAAATCAGTGTACCCATCTAAGAGGGGTAAAGTTTTTGAGAGGCATGATTTTCTCTTTCCCTACTACTATTTGCAGTGGGAAGCTCTAGGTGGCTCCTTGTGCCTTCTAGACCATATCATTCCACCAGCTGATCTAGAAAAACATTTCAGCAGCATTCTAGGGCTGGGACGTGTGGGTTTTGAAGTAACGATGGACACTCTATGGGGCACCCCTCAATACAGTACTGTTAATGCATTGATATATGATTTATTTATTTAAAATATAACTCACCTTTCTCCTGAAGAAGACCAAAGGCAAATTGCAATATTAAAACAATGTTAAAATTGTTTAAAAGCAATAATTACAGTAATAAAACAAGAATTAAACAGATCTCAAACTAAAAACTCCAGTGGATAAATCCAGTTAAAAACCATTCTAAAAATGCATCTTTTAAAAACCCTCTTGGGAGCTCCCATGTTGAGCAGTCTAGTGTTTCTAAAAAACAAACAAAAAAGGGGAAGGAGAATCTTAACTAGTAAAAATGTTTAGGATACACGATGTGTAATGTAGTGTAGCATTGATCCATGCAGCAAAAGTTTCTATGTGAAAACACTGAAATTGCCAAATGTAATAGATACATCAGCAGTCCTGATATCAGCACGACAAATATAATAGATAAATCAGCTGCCTGATTTATCCACCTTTTCACTTCTAATTCTCTCGTGTTTTTCATATGGGTGGTGGGATATAGGTATATTTTTATTCTTTATATATGCACCTAACTCTGTACAAAAGGATCTAACAGGAACAGTGTCCCGTGTTTTCGGCCAGTGATGGGAAATCAGGTCACCTTAAATGGGCAGTTTCTCACTCAGTCTTCCAGTCATTGTTTGAGTTGATTTAAGAGCTCTGTCATAGTTTGGTCAGAATCATACCTAGTGTTTGCCTTTCTATAAGCTGAGAGATGAATTCTGTATGGCTCCATGTTGGTCTAAGCTAGAAAAACACAATGCCAGCTTTGTTGAATAAGGGCTTGGCTTGCCAGGCCCTTTCAAAGCTGTGTGTATGTATCC